TTGCACCTGACGGTGACACGTACGTATATTCTTTTTTAATATTTATTTTATATTATAGATTTTTCTCACATAACATATTTTTGTAGATTCTACCTATCAAAACAACCTACACATAAAATATGGGATATTATACGGAGCAGGTATAATGCTCCTTATGTTTCTTGGAAAAAAAGTCCCAAAAGAAGCTCGGGAAATGTGGTTTAGAGAGTTTGAGATATTTGTGTTTAATATTTTTTATGGTATGACTAAATGAATGATATATTCTTTTTTACTTAAGCTAATAAAAATATATATTATATATTATATGTTTTTGAATGCAGAAAGAGTTTTATTGGCTGCCTCAGCACAGTGATAAAATTAGAAAGAATTTTAAGAAGCGTAGATCCACTCGGATGCGTGACATGTTTACAGACATTAAAAAGACTGGCAAGCAGCCATTAGGGATTGGAGAGACAATATGGGCTGAGTTGAACATTGCTTAGGGTAGCACAGAGTGAAGCAAGAGGAGGGATTAAAATCGACAGAACAGAGCTTCTAATGTTAGGGGCATGAATAGTTCCCTTCTTACTAGGGTTAAGTTCCACATACTAAGCATAATCGATATTTGGTAATGTATTTTAAAAGTTTTTTAAAAATTTTCTTTAAGAGAAATATTAATTGAAGTTTATTACAAAAAAGAGATGCTGGATAGAAAATCAACTCCTATGGAATTGCATAGCCACACTCATAAGTACAGGAGGACCAACAATGGGTTGAAGAATGAGCAAGAAAAGCCTATGTAAGTATATTATTTAATAATTTTTATTTTTAGTCTCAATATATATATATATATATTCTCCTTTCACAGGAGGAGTATACACGGCTTCGAGAGAGTCAGGCCGCAACAGGTGAGGGTTCTTCTAGCGGCTCTGTAGAGTATTCTGAGTACCGCATCTGGTCGTAAGCCACAGGAGGAATGTAACATAGCAGGATTTATGGTTTAGGTTCGCAAGCCTAGTCATATGAGGGGATGATATCTACTGGATCTAACTTCACAACAACTTCATATAAGTCCTTACATAGTCAATAGATAACTCTTCAAGCGGAGCTTGAACAAGGAAATCACAAGCTGATTGGCATGTTCAATTACAAGCACAGATACAGATGTAGATGTAGGAGCAACACAATTAGTTGTTGGATGAAATTCACAAAATGAGGGAGCAGTTGAGTCGAAAAGAGGTAGCTCTAGTTGATGATGAGTTGACAGATTCATAGTAGTTTAGTTTTTTCATTCTCTTTCCGTCGTAATTTCCATCATATCGGCGGATTTTGCCTGCCGTTAATGGCTGGTTTCCTATAGTAAGCCGGGCAGTGGGTAGATCGGTAGCTAATTTTTAAATTATTTTTTTTCTTTTTCCAAAAACCGCCAGAAGTATTTGCGGCCGAAAAAGACCGTTGGGTATTGTTGTCCTATGCTGGTTTACCAGCAAAAATTTTGCCGTCGGAAAGCCACCAATAAATTCCAACACCGCTGAAAAATGCCGCCGGTAATAGAGGAAGAGTGGAAAAAGAGAGGTTGTAGAAATAGACATGAGAAAGTCAGAAGTTATTCTAGATAGTTGCTAGATAAAGAGACTAAATTTCTATGATCATACAAATTTGAATGAATAATATTGGCTACTAATTTAACTTACTTTATTATGTACACATTTTTGCAAATATATTTTAAGGAGTTAGCATATCAAAAGAGGTGTTAGGTTTATTTATCTCTACTTTCACTTTACATTATTATTCAGGTGATAGGGAATAGTTTGAAAATAAAAAATACTGCTACGAATGCAACAATTAAGTTGGCTAATGAGGAGATCTTAAGCATAATGGAGATGGAAATAGTGCTTAATTCATAGCAAAAAACATGGCTAGTCAAATGTTGATGTTTATGAAAGCTCTTGGTAGTGTGGTATTTCTTCATACAGGAAGGATATAGATACAATCATCAATTTTTGAAAAGGTAAAAAGGGGAGCAGAGAGGCTGACGGATCACCACATGATGTTATTATTTGTTTGTTTTCTGACTGAACTCCTGATTCTTTTCATAATTCCTTCCCCAACTCTTTCTCCATCAGAAAAATTGAGTTTGTTAAGCTTTCACAGTCAATGTCTGCAACTTGAGAAACATTATATTTACGCTCAAATTAAAGAACTTTGCCTATGAAGATATCAAACTGCATTTGTTTATAAGCTTTCAGATTCCTCCTTAGACTAACAGTCATTTACACTCATATCCCATGAACATACCGCATGAAAAAAAAATGCTTATAAACAAGAATTATAGCTTAATAGTTTGATTTTGTTGAAATGCTTTAGAATATGTGCAGGAAAACTAGAAATGTAAATGTAAACGAGATGATATTTATAATTTTCTTATAAACATTTTTATTAAAATTTTATCTGGACAGATAGTTCTTCATATTCGCACAAGGAGCCAAAGCATCATATTGTAAGATGTACAAGTACTTTATCTTTTACTCGAGCCGAGTACTTTATTGTTCAAGCTCTGTTAGTTTTTTTTATGTCGGCTTGAAGCCCAAAATTGGACATGACTTGAGCTTTAAGATATTATCCAAAATATCCTAAGGCTAAGCCATGGGTGAGAGGCAAACCTGCAACCTCAATTGTTGGAGAAATTATTCTGTGGACGCCAGACATAGCTCTACGTCCGGAAGCCGCGATACCGAGCAGTACCGAGTTGCGGTACAGTAAAAGGGTGATGTGATGCTTTCTAATTGATCTTCGGATGGCGTTTGGCGTCCACAGAAAATTTTTCAAATTGTTGTAGATATGCCTCCCTTTGAGTTCGATAGGTTTGAGAATATTCAACCAAGGTCTAAGCGAGCCAGCCCGGTCAGCCTATGGGCGACATGGCTAATCATGATTTAATTATAGAATGGTGCATTCTCACCATTTGATAACTATAAGGAATATTGTATATAAGGGCATCAATGTTTTCCATGAAAACTAACCCCTCATTTATTTCTTTCAGGAAGACTTACTCGTTTACAAAATAGCTCATAAGAGTAGCCATAATCCACAAGACTGTAACTCCAACTTTTTTTTTTTTACATTGTTGTCACCATTCTCAAGACTTGTGCACAACTCTTGCAACATAGTATGCCTAAAAGAATAGCGAACCTTTACTTCTATCATAACTTTATCTCATAACGATTGCAATGCTGGTATCTCACATATAACATGAACCAGGAACACCTCCTACATGACTTGCATTGAAATCTTCTCTCATAAATCTTTAGTCGTAGCTTTTTCAAGTGCACCAACGACCATCTTACTCCATAGCTACTGATACCTCTGAAAGCCACCGTCTTGTATTATATTGAGATCCTCCTTGATTATATTGGGAATTGATTATCATTAGTGATGCAAAGACGTAATGGAAGAGATGAAGCTTATCAAGATTATCATCTATTATGATTTCATCATTTATGTTGATAAAAATGTTTCTAAAGAGCTAGAAGTTTGCAGACTACATATTAATAGGGAACTGTTAAAATTATTGTCGATTTTCTTTCCTCTTTCCAGAATATTAGTGGTCTCTCTATTAGTAGGGAGAAGAGTAATTTTATTACTGGCAGCAATGTGAATATGAGCAGAAATAGTAGGATTAAAAATGTTTGTGGGTTCAATCAAACTTTGTTGCATATAAAATACCTCGGCACTCCCTTATTTAAAGGTCGGAAAATGCTCTTTCTATTTGAAAATATTTTTACTATCTTTCAAAAAAAAACTACTGCATTGGTCTTCGAGTTTTCTTTCTTTTGGTGGCAGATTGATTTTAATTAAAAGTGTGTTAAACTCTATCCCTATTTTCATTTTTCATACATTGAAACCCCCGGCTTCTGTATGTGTGTGTATGGAGAAGATGATCAATAAATTCTTCTGGGGGGCTACTAACAGCAAGAGTTGTATTAATTGGGTTTCGTGGAATAACATGTGTGGTAAGTTTAATGAGGGATTTCTTGGGTGCAAATATGTTTTGGATACTGTGCATGCTTTCTCCCATAAGCTTTGGTTCTCTTTTAGATCTCAGACTAGTTTATGGGCTAATTTTATGTTGGCCAAATATTGTAAGAATTTACATTCTTTATCTTGCACTTTTAAAACTGGTGACTCGTTAGTTTGGAAGAGGCTGTGTGAGGTTAAATGGGAAGCCGAGCAGAATATTCAATGGGGTATTGGCAAAGGGGAGATTTATTTTTGGCAAGACAACTGGATGGGTTCTTTCTCTATTGATAGTTATCTTAATACCCATAGCATTGTTAATAGCAAAGTTAAGGATTTAATCTATAATGGGGGTTGGGACATTTTTAAATTATGGGACTCTGTCCCTTTTGAGATAGCTGATCAAATTATGCAAATTCCTCTACAGCTTAATCAGGGGTATAAAATTCTTTTTAAATTAGGCTTCTATGGTAATTTCAATATTAAGAAGGTTTGGGAGGAGTTTAGATTAAAAAGTGATAGTTATGTTTTGTTTAATTATATTTGGAATAACAATATTCCCCTATCCTATTCTATTCTTACGTGGAGGTGTCTTAAAGATTATTTGCCGGTTGATAATCTTTTGTGGAAAAAAAGCTTTAGCTTTCCCTCTAAGTGTCAATGTTGTTCTAGTATTGAGAGCATCCAGCATGTGTTTGTGAATGGTTCTATTGCTAGAAGAGTGTGGCATCATTTTTTTATCTTGGTTGGTATTCATAATTTCAATTTTGAATGTGATTTTGTTGGGTTTCTTAAAACTTGGTTGACTGCTAGCAAAGGTCATATCCATAACTTATTGCCTACTGTTATTATTTGGTTTCTTTGGAAAGGTAAAAATGATTCTAAGCATAATGAGATCAAAATGTATGTCAATAAGATTATTTCTAATGTGAGGGACAAAATTTTGCAGTTAATTTTGGTTAATCTAATTTCTAGTAAACATTAATTTCTTCAACTGTACTCAGATGGCTTCTCATTTTAGCATTACGGATGACTCTTCTTTGGTGAGCAATTCTGGCCGTAGTGTCAGGTGGGATAAACCTAAGGCACCGGCTATTAAATTGAACACTGATGGTTCTGTTAGTGCTAATAATGCGGGTTTGGGTGGCATGATTAGGGATCACAATGGCAAGCCTCTGGGTATTTTTTCTGGCCCTTTGTTGCTGTGTTCTGTTTTGACGGCTGAGCTTATGGCTCTGCATCAGGGGTTAGAGATTTGTATGAAGTATGGTTACCAGGTAATCAATATTGAAGTGGATTCTAAAATTCTTTTGCAAGTGATTTCTGGCATTTCTGTGGGTTGTCTTCAGGATTACTACACTATTAGAAAAATTAATAATTGCCTTGCTAATTTAAACTATACTATATCGCATGTTTTCCGTGAAGGCAATGCTTGTGCTGATTGGCTTGCAAAGTTTGGTTCCCACAGTGGGGTGTTCCAGGAGCATAACCTGAACAATTTACCGGTTCCCCTTTCTGGCATGATTTGTATGGATAAGCTAGGTCTTCCTTATATTCGTCACACTTGAATTTTATTTTTGGATCTTTGGTCTGTTCTCATGCCTGGTTTTTGGTTGTCTGGGGGGTCATTTTGCTTTCTTTTCTGGGTTGGCTGTGGGGTGCCCTTTGTATTGGTCTCTTGTTTGGAGTATTTCTGGTTGTCCCAGAATCCCTACAAAATGTTATTTTTATTGTTTGCTCTAGTATTATAGGGATATGGTTTGTTGGCATTATTCTTGTGAGGCTCTTAACCTTTATTTTTCTGGGTTTACTGATCTTGTGAGCAAGCTGGTGTTCTTTGTCCTGGGCTATCATATGAGTGATTGGATGTTTTTGCTGGTGGGGTGTTTGAAGGATAGATTGCAGGTGAATTGGGCTGAGCATTTGTCTGTTTTTATGTTTTGGTGGGGGCATTGGTGGGTTGCTGATGGTTGGAGGATTAACTTTGGTAATCAAATCTGGTATAATTTTGTTCTATATTTTGCTGTTATTAACTTAATTCTCTGGAGTTGTCTTTGCAGATCATTTTGCTCAGCTCTTTGGATCAAAATTACTAGTAAGTTGATTGCAGTTTTCCTTTTAGTTTTATGCATCTTGGTTTTCCTTTTTTGCAGGAAGTGTGTGCTGATTGATTACTATCTGAGCTTCCTTTTTTGGGTGCTGTTTCCTTACAGCCCTAGGGTTCTTTTTTGTCTTTATTGTAATTGTAGGAAAAGGGACCTCTGTCTTCTAGGTTTTATTTTGAATTTTTCTGTAGCTTTTTGGAGCAGTAAAAAAGCTGGAGGACCCTTCTAAGGACTTTTGTAACCCTTTTATTTATATCAACGCATAGGCCCCTACTGTGGGTTTTAATTAAAAAAAAATAATTAATAGGGAACTTTAGTGTCCTTATCCATCATTTATGTTGTGTGGTATTTGTGTTTTAAGTTTTTTTTTCTCGGTTATTGCTTTGGTCAATCGTTCTCCAACATTCGCAAGGGAAGAAAATCATTTACATTTAGGCTCATCTGATTTGAAGGAATTGAAAGAAAGGAAAGTAAATGAAAATTAAAAAAATAAAGAGATTGAAATGAAATTCATTTTCATGTATTTTAAATAATTTTTATATTTAATCAATAAGAAATTAAGTTTTTCTTTATGAGGAAAAGGTATATCAATCATAAAAAAGAAATTACATTTTTCTTCATAGTTTTCACATGGATTATTTAAAAAAAATTATTGAAAAAATTTATATTTGTTCATACTTTTATGTAAATTCAAATAGTTATATCTAAATTACATTAAAACAAAACATCAAAACTAAATTGCATTTATATTTCCTCCAAATAGACACTAACATAGACAAATTTTTTTTTGAAGAAATGCAAAGGTGCATTAAAATAAAAGAAAGTACAATCTAATACAAACTAGAAAAAAGAAGCTAATGGTTCCTTTTTCAACATGAAAAAGGACTAACATAGATAAATTTAATGTAAAAAAAAGACAAATAAATAAAAGGAAATATTGATCAAGGTTAAAATTGTCATTTATAATTTTAGTTTTTTTTATAAATCAATAAGATGCATCATACTTGGTCCCCTCTTCTCACCACTTTTGAAGTTCTAATTTGGTGCATGAATGGCCAAATTTTATGCCCACTCCATCTTAATAGTCTAAAATTATTTTATTTCTCACTTTACATCACATCACTTCTCTAATAGTCTTTTCATTCCCCTAATTTCCATTTATCACCAAGGCTTCAATAAAGGCTTCGTTTCTATTCTTGAATTTGCATTATGGTGGTACTTTTTTTTTTAGTTAAAACCCACAGAGGGGCCTACGTGTTCATTTCAAAATTCGGTTACAAAGTCCTTAAAATGACCCACCAGCTCGCTACTGCTCCGGAGAGCTACAATCAAAAGAGAAATAAAAAAACCTAAGAGCTGGTAGTTCCTTATCCTACGATTACAAAAATAACCAGAAAAAAGACTCGGGCTGTGAGAAAACAGCACCCAAAAAGGAGATCCAATTTATGTCGTTCAGCTCAAACTTCCTACAAAAAAACAAAAGGAAATGCAAGAGGGAAAAGAAGAGAACCTTGCATTCGTTAATGGACCCAAAAAAAACAGATGATGAGTACCATGCAAAAGATTCTCCAAAAAGAAGCATTAAAAGAAAAGAAGTAAAAACAATAAGAAACAACTTTCAGAATACTATTACCATCAAGACAGAGCAACTGGGTAACCAACTTCCTCACAGATGTAAAATGAGATAAACAATGCCAGCTGAAAAACCGACCCAACCCGGAAGGAACATCATCAGTCGTAAAAAGCAAGACTAAGTTCAAATACCAACCCAGTTTTAACAAATGAATATCAACCATAGCCTCAAAAATTCTTACATTCCCAAGAATGGTATTCTTAAACTCGGTTAAGTCACCCTGTAAGACCTTAGTGGGCTGGGCAAAGCAGAACAAGACCAAAAGACCCCAAGAGGATAATCTCAAATTAGGAAGAAACCCAAAAAAAAAAAAAAAAAGACACCCGAAGACACCCAAACTTGCACCCATCAGGTTAGCCAACCAAAGCCAGTGATAAATCTATCATTAAAATCTTGAAAGAAATTGCTATCAGCAACCCTGTAATGAGAGATACCACAAGTATACCAATAATAATTCAAAGGAGCAATAGCAATCATAACAATGAAAGGGCTCCCAGTAGAGAAGTCTAAGTTGTTAACCAGCCACCCACAGAAATAACATGCCAAGTGAGGAAAAACATTAACAATGAGGTTCCAAATCTCACCAGCAGCACCCCAATTAATAAAAACCTTCAAAAAAGAGCCAACACAGAACCAAAAAACAAAAACATTAACCATGTATAATATAAGGAAGAGCAGTTTTATCAAGGGTAATCATACCTTTCAAGATCGGATTTAAATTACTAATGCTCAAATCTTGATATCTTTCAAGCTGACAACCAAAGTTAGCCAACCAGTCGGCATTGGCATTAGCTTCACGGTATATGTGAGAGATATTGAAATTAATAGAAGAAAGAGACTTTTTGATTTTCTTAATCACATAAAAATTTTGAGGATTACCCTGAACCTGGTTTTTAATAATTTGAACCACAAGTTCAGCATCCACCTCAATCCTGATATGATAATACCCCAAATTAATACAATTATCAATGCCAAAGGCTAACCCAGTATGTTCAGCAGTAATAACAGAACAAGAATGCAGAGGACTAGCAAAAGCAGCTAAAACCTTACCCTCGTGATCCCGAATGATACCACCAGTGCCAGCTAAAATTTTTTTTATAGAACCGTCCGTATTCAATTTAACAGAAGGTACAGATGGCTTCCTCCAAATAACAAATCTGGTAAAACTCCTGTTAACATTCTCACCCATTTGTATACCAAGAAGCTCAGCAAAATTCTGTAAATTTTTACAGTGCTTACTCGAGATCAAATTACAGGAAGAAAGATGCAAAATTTTATGATTAATATTCAAGATAATACTAGAAGCCTCCATCTTCATATCACAATGATTAGATTCATTTCTCGCTTTCCAAATAAACCATAATATAAGAATAGGGAAAAAGTTTAAAATATGACCTTTAGAATTGAACATTCCATTTACTTAATAAGGAAGGAAGATCATTATAATTATCCACGTGCTTCAGATTAGCCAAGGCAAAGAAATGTTGCCAAACCTTCTTTGCAATAGCCCCATTCACAAAAAGATGATTAACACTTTCAATATTAGAGCAACATTGGCATTTGGAAGGGAAACTAAAACCTTTTTTCTGTATTAAAGTATCAACAGGAATAAAACCCTTAAGACATCTCCATGCTAAAATGGAATAGGATAAAGGGATATTATTATGCCATAAAGAAGAATACATATATGAGTAATTATACTTATACCTGAAGGCATCCCACACCTTGCTCATTTGAAAATTACCCGACGAGGACAAAGTAAACATAACTTTATCCTTGCTAGACAATTCTAAGGGTATCATCAGAATCATATCAACAATAAAGGGAGGTAAAACCTCCAAAAGTTTAGTAACATTCCAGCCGCCATTAGCAATAAAATTAGAAACCTTGATATTATCAATGGAAGAGGTGTTTAAATAATTGTCAATCGAAGAAGGCCCGATCTAGTTATCTTGCCAAAAGAAGACATTACCTTTACCAATACCCCACTGAATAAAATGTTCGGCAGTCCACTTAATTTTACACAGTCTTTTCCAGGTTAAAGAATCAGTCCTTTTATAAACGCCAAGAAGAGGATGGGAATCTTTGCAATATTTAGCATTCATAAAACGGGCCCCTAAACTCTCATTAGTTCTAAAAGAAAACCAAAGTTTATGAGAGAAAGCTTGAACCATATTTGGAATGTTTTTGCAACCTAAACCACCTTCGTTATAGATGCCACAAATATTGTTCCAAGAAGCCCAACGAATACCATTACTATTAAATTTGGAACTCCAAAAGAATTTATTTATCATTCTCTCAGATCTAAGGCAAATAGCAACAGACGGAAGCATAGAATGCGGTAAGTAAACAGGAATAGAATTAAGAACAGATTTTAGGTTGGGCATATAGGAAGAAGCCAAAGCATCACTGTTTTTAGGAAGATTAGTAATATTAGATATAGAAGAAGGGGCCATAGTTTTACTCACAACTTTTTCATAAGGTTGGGCATTTTGCTCACCGTTAGTAGGAGGAAGAAATTCCCCTTCTTCACAAGCATCATGGATGCCATCTCCAATAATTTCACCATCTCTGTTATCAACATCAATAGAATAAGAATTAGAATTCTTTTCTACAATATTAGTAGTCATAGGATTTAAATCAGAATGAACCGTATCAATGTTCTTAATGTCATTTAGCATAGATTCAATGGAAATAAAAATTTTAGGATCACGAGCCTCATTATTGTTTCCAATAGTTTCTTGATTCTCCTCCTTAATAAGAATACCATTACTAGGAATTTGCAGAGGTTCTTGAGAAACAATAATTTCACCTTCCGACTTATTCGACG